AACTGAATCAATAAAAAATTCGTGCTATATAGTTTTTTTTGGGTACTACTATATAGTTTCGGAATACTAGAACATGCTTTGTTTAAATAGTTAATAATTATTTTAAACGAAATTCTTTCATAGATTGCATTATGGACTCTGTCGATGGTACAGTTGAGGCATTGCATTATTAACTTTCGAGATGGTACAATGGAGACAGCCTCGCCTTAGCAGCAACCTATATGACTATTATAGGGTGTGACTTGTGAGAGATTTATTCACAAGTGGCGAATCTCATCTACTGAGATTTTGATTATTTAAAAAAAAAAAAAAAACTTTTTGTAACGGCACTGAGATTTTTGATTTAGTGGAATAATCCTCATTAAAAAGTTAATTATGATGGGAATAAAAATAAAGCAATATGACGACAAACGAGCACTGATTCGCCAGCTTATTCATGGAAAGCATTAGCAAAACTGATAATTTCATATAATATAATTAACATAATTTTCCTATGGGGCTCAATCTTAATTACTACACAAAAAACAGATATGACTTCCATCTTCTAAACAGATATGACTTCCATTAAAACAGAAGTTCAGTTTTTTTTTTTTTTTTCATTTTCAAATGACATTCATGATGAAAAATTTATTCAAGAAATTAAAAGTAATATGAGCTAAATTATTAGTAATCGATAGTGATTCGATCAAATATAGATAAAATTATGCATAAACTCAAGGGTAAAACTATCAATTCCAACAAAAATAATTGAGAAAGAAGAAGTTTAGTTTGGTGTTTTAATCACAGCAAAACTCCACACGTGCTCTTCCTTCGTTTTTTTTTTTCTTTATGTTCGTCGTCTTTGGTTATATGCAAATTTTCTAGTCACTTTTTAGATGAATATATATTTTGTAATTTATTAGTATGCTTTTGCTCTTAATAATTGGCTCATAGTTTTCGAAGTTGAATCAACTAATTAGTTATATGCCAAACGAGTGGGCTGGAAATTTCGCAAGTGCCTTCACGACTGTTTCAATTATTGTCAAGGTTAAGGAATCTTGGTGTTGTGAATCTCCCATCTTTATTTGTCAGGTTCGTACATATATAGTTTTAGAGAATTATAAGATAGTTCTTTTAATAGTGCCTTCAATAAAAAAAAAAAATCTAATTTATCTTTAGTCTGAATAATATAATTAATTAATTTTCATGAAATAGTTATACTCACATATTGGCGGGTGGGGAGGCATGTGTGAGCATGTTAGTTCTAAATTCATCTGTGTTTTGCTTGTTCATATGTGTCACCACTCACCACTTTGCTTTATGCTCTATAATCCTTTTTCTCTAAATTTTTAATTTTCTATTTCTCACCTTTCTCACCTAGGTTCTGATTAAATTTTTAGTATGTCATCTCCCCTAAACAGATACTGTATATCACTCTGAAACCTTAACAGTTCTTATTCCATATTTCTATCTTCCACCTGCTCTAATATTTAATTAAACGATTAATCATCTAAGAATATCTTGCTCTTATTTCTTTAAATATCAATTTTATCTCCATTGCCATTGTGTTGCAATTACTCTCATTCATTTCATATATAGTGACATTTTTTGTTATTCATTTTTTATAAATGTTAGCTTGCTCGATGTCTATCATTTTCACTATACATATAAGTTTTCTGAAAAATTTATTTTTATGACTTTTCTTTCCAATCAATGATTAGATCTTTTTCTTTTTGTGAAAGCTTTATATTTGCATGTTAAATCCCTAATTGTATGATTGTACGGCCATGAGATGGCATATTTTGTTTGTTTGTTGATGCTTTTATGATGTTAGACCACTCAGCCAATTTACACAAATATATATATTTATTTCCAAATTACACCCATCACTTTTATATGTTTTCAAAATTTTGATACGAAGTTTACTCTATGCATGTTGTTAAAATCATCGGTATTATCATATTACGCGATAAATGTTTGATATATGTCGATGAAATGAGTATGGTGAGATAGAGAAACAAACGTTGGCTAGCTCTTTGGAAAATGGAGAACATGTGTGCACTAATCCTCTGCCACTATCTTTCTACTTCCCAACTTTTTCTTTCTATTATATCATTTTTGTACTTTCTTACACTAAACTATTATTGAAACTAAAACAAAATAAAATGAAATATGGTAGAGTTTTAAAGGGTCCATCTCATTCACGTCTCCGTGACATCTAGCAAGTGCCTAGAAAGTGTATGAAACGACCTTATTGCTTTTGGTGAAGACATAAATATATGTCCATATCTAGGCATGGGCATTCGGTTGACCATTCGGTTTCGGTTCGGTTACGTTCGGTTTCGGTTAGTTTGGATATGGTAATATAATAACCATTCGGATATTTTAAGAATTTCGGTTCGGTTCGGTTCGGTTACCTTTCGGTTCGATTCGGTTTGGATATTTAAATAGGTAACCGTAACTAATCAAACTTTTATCACGTTCGGTTTGGTTCAGGTTTTTACCCAAATTAACCGAAATTTACCGAATATAACCGAAACTAACCAAAATTAACCAAAAAAATACAAAAAGAAAATGCAAAAAAATTAAAATATTAGAAGAAAATTAAAATTTGATTCAATTTTGTAAAAGAGTATTTAACTTTGATAAATATAACAAACAATATTTGAATATTTTGATTATTTAAAGTATTTGATTGTTTTGATTATAAAAATAATTAATTTTTTGAGGTTATAATTATAGTTTTGGATATTATTTTTGGGTATCTTATAGGTTTTTGGATATTTCGGTTAACCGTTTGGTTATCGGTTCGGTTCGGTTCGGTTTCGGTTAGTTTGGATAGGAGATTTTACAAACTATTCGGTTATTTTAAAAACTTCGGTTCGGATATGGTTCGGTTTTTTTCGGTTCGGTTCGGTCGGTTATTTGGTTAGCGGTTTTTTTGTCCAGGCCGCTAACCAAATAACAATGAACAACAATCAAAGACAACTTAGGTTTTCGTTTTAAGTACTTATAAAAAGAAAACATTTTACATTTATTGATTTAAAATAAACTGCACATTTTTGTGGTAAAGAGAATAAAAACGAAGCCATAAATTTGGAGTAATTCACAGAATAATCACATTTTTTGTTTTTTTTAATCAAAATTCCTAACTTTGTTGTAGCCTTAATTATAGAGAACATGATATGCTTAGACTAATTATTTATCAATACTCAACATTAGTTTAACCTAGAAAAATATTGTCTATTTTCTCTAATGTATATTGATACAAAGTTTTGATTCATCGGTCATATATATATGATCAGTCTTATATTTAAATTCCATATTTCAACGAAAAATTACTAAACTAGTTAGCTTGTTTTTGTGAATCTTGGAAGAACATTAAGAAGAAGAAGAAGAAGTGTGAGAATGAAATTGTATGAAACTACTATAGCTGCATGTGAATTTTCGACATAATTGCATTTTAAGATAAAAATCAAATAAGAAAAAAAAAAATGCAGAAAAATTATTTACGGGTGAAGTCTACTCAATAACATGAAACATCTTGGACCACTAAATTTCCAGTCTTACTATTCTTATGAAACAACCTTGTACCTAACTAGTGACAATTGAAATTTCACACAAAATGAATCATTGAAATTTCTGAAGTTTATCTTTTATATTTCATGAAAACAGGGGTACACGTGAATCATTGAAACTTCAAGGTTTATCTCTTATATTTCACGTAAATAAGTATACACAAGAATAATACTAGAGATTCAGTGAACCCAATCTATTAGACTATTCTTAGTAAATCGTCAACCGCCAGTTTCTTCCTATGTACGAACATTTTAGTTATAATTTGAATATTGACGACGATGACGAAAACGAAACGAAAAATTTATCGGCAATTGGTTTTTGAGAAGAGATCGAAAGAAGATAAACTATGGTGTACGTACACATGTAAACGAGATATTTTAAAAAGAGATAACACTCTCATAATGGCCTTTTTGGTGGTTTTATTTTCAACGTGGTAATTTGAAATTTTAGTACTGCAATGTGTTTTTTTTCCACCACTAGAAATTACAACAACAATATCGTATTATTACGAGTTTGTTTTTTACTAAAGATGTGGCTTTGTTTTTTCAAACCAAGAGGAGTTGGTAATATATCTACCAAGCTAGATGTTCCTTTTTTCGTCAAATGATAATGACATTTACAAGATTACACTAATAAGAACGTAATTTTAAAAATATATCTGAATAGTAGGTTTTATATGTTAATACCGGCATGATGCACGAAAAGTTAGTCTATCAAAAAAATATTCTTGAGCTTATAGAATAGCGAATTCCAGTTTGTCCCCTTGTTGGTACACAAATTAATAGGATTCTCCAGCCTCCACTAAGTAAATATGCGAAAAATGTAACATATTTTTTCAGACTAAAACGAAAAGTTAGTTCATATATATTATTCAAAGAAAAAGGAACAAGGGAAAATAGTGGTGTGGATTCCACATCATCAACAATAGTATTAGAGAAATGAGTAAAGAGATCAATTTATAAGCCTGTGTTGGCCCAACTTAAAAACAACATATCAGTTTTCAGTAACCAATAATCTTAGCTAAATTAAGGTGATCACAACAAATGATCCCAATAGAACTTCTATAAACTGACGACTACAAAATGAACAATAAAACATAAACTTGTTTCAACCCTTAATCCGTTTTTCTAAGTTCAGCGATATTGAATCAATTGTGCTGATGTCTAACACTTGTTATACTTTTGGATATCGTTCGTTGCTATCGCTGATCGTTCTCGTCAACAACATCGAAACAAACCTAATTATAATAAAGCTTTTGGTACAACATCTGTTTTTTCTTTTTTGATTATATGAGATTATGTATATCTTAATAATGATAATGGATTCCTAGTCTAATAATGGGTTTATATGTGTCTTATGGGGCAAACAGAAAAATAAAATAAAAAATAAAAGGTCCCTTCAGGCCCATAAAACATTGTGGGCCTAACGAAGCATTTAACGCTTTTCTTGTTTTCTGTTACTCCGATCAAATCTCGATCTTCTCGTCGCAGCATCTCCGATTGCGATTGCTCCGGCGGTAATTTCTAGGACGGCGTCACAAGCCTCTCGTCTTCTTTCTCTTGCTCAGGTGATTTTGAATTTCGATCCGCTCTTTGTTCTTCACCACACTTGTTTGTTATACAACTCATTGTATCAATTTCTACGAATAATCTCTAATCCAGAGACGCTTCGGTAACGAGAAGTCCTGATCTGATATGGCGTCTGGGATCGTCGGAGGAGGTGGATCCTTATCGGATGTATATAGTAGTGCGAAAAGGATTCTACTCAAGGCTCGCGACGGAATCGAGAGGTTAGAGAGGTTCGAATCATCTTCTATGGATTCTCCCGATCTGGCTTCCTCCGTGAAACGAGACATTACTGAGGTCCGATCTCTCTGCTCAAACATGGATGCTCTTTGGCGCTCAATCCCTGTTAAATCTCAGCGTGATCTCTGGAGAAGGTTCTTGATTCATTACTCTCAAATCTCTTAAAACACATTACCTCTTTGGTTTCTGAATCACGTTAGAGTAGTTTCTTGCAATTCTTCTATGTACTACTCTGTGTTGAAATCGCAAGCAAATGTGGATGATCCAAATCGATGAATATATATTCACTGTTTGGTTTCTGAATCTCTTTAAGTAGTGCTTCTTAAACGTTAGAGTAGTTTCTTGTGATTCTTGTATACTCTTGTGTTGAAGTCATAAGCAAATTTGGGCGTTTTGTTGCAGAAAGACTGAACAAGTTGGAGAAGAAGCTGAGTATTTGAATCAAAGTCTGGAAAAATACATGTCGAGGAATCAGAGAAAGATGTTGGAAGCTAAAGAGAGAGCGGATTTGCTAGGCAGAGCGAGCGGAGAAGGGGCTCACATTTTGCAGATATATGATGAGGAAGCTCAAGCTATGAACTCTGTGAAGAACTCGAAGAGAATGCTTGAAGAGTCGTTTTCTAGTGGAGTTGCTATCCTCTCCAAATATGCTGAACAAAGGGATCGTTTGAAGGTAAACTCTTGTGAACATTTTCTTGCTGTCGTTAATATTTTGTAACATTGGGGTTTTTGGATTCTCAGAGTGCGCAGCGTAAAGCTTTGGATGTTCTGAACACAGTAGGGCTCTCCAACTCGGTACTGAGGCTCATTGAGAGGCGCAATCGTGTTGATACTTGGATCAAATATGCCGGTATGATCGCAACACTTGTCATTTTGTATCTGTTCATAAGATGGACACGCTAAACCGAAGAAAAATCAAACGACTTAGTTACACAGATTGTTATATGTAAAGCGTTATGTTACTTCATGTATGCGCCTCTTACAAGAGATATTGATAATTTTCACATGTTACTACAAAATATCTTTATCAATATCTTAATCATTCTGACGGTGAAAATGATGTGATGGTTTGATTTTTTTTTTTTTCTTTGGAGTGATTGCTTATAAAATTAGTTATAATAAAATCGATTTTATAATTTTGGGAGAATATTTGAAACTGATAAAATCTGTTCTGATTAAGTTGATCAATGAATTTCGTTATTGATGTTAGATTTGAGTCATACTATACAGTATTAGATTGAGATAAATTTTGATCTAGCTAGACAGTATCTATATATATATAACAATATTTGAGAAGTGTTTTTGCTGACGTGTCGGACTCTCGGCTCTTGTTGAGTCCTTGATTTTACGTAATTACTTAATTACCCTTAATGAAATCTAATTAATTTTGGAAAAATTAAATTGAATTTCGGAATTAACCAGGAAAAAATAATTTTGGAAACAATAAACATGATAATTAACCCAAAAAAAAAAGAACAACGAAGTACCAGTTAGGAAGCTTTAATTGAATTCATCGTGTTCTTCGTCGTGTGAATATAATTCTTCTAAACGAAGACAAAACTTGAAATCCTAACATAAAGCATATATTCATAGCAATAACAGAGATCTAATAATTTAGTGATAGAATTTCACCTGTTGATCTCTCGAAGCAGAATAGTCAAGCTTCTCATAGTATCTTGGCCATGTTATGTCTTTAAGACGTCAATACTATCCTGCACCCTATAATTCTAACCAATGAAAAGAACAAATATTTATTACCTTGGATACAAAGTTGACGAAGAAACCTTGGACAAAAACTCGACGAAGAAACTTGTAAGTGTTAATGTATGATGAAGCTTCCATGAACGTGAATTCGTGATCATAATGAAGAAACGTGTGAATAGAGACGGTTGATGGTTTTTTTTTTTTTTTTTTTTTTTTTTACCTTTTGTGTAAACAGATCTGTTTCATAATTTATCGGAAAAGGAATTATACCAAAAAAAAAAAAATCGGAAAAGGAAAATATTTATTATAATATTGATATATTTAAGATGATAATGTCAAATATCCGAAAATTATTAATCGGAGCATTAATATAAACATAAAAGAATACTATTCTAACCTTACTCAAATTAATAAGATTTAGATATCCGAAATTAATCGTAAACGGCTATTAATTGTTAAACTAATTAAAATAAAGATCAAACGTACCGGAATAGATGAAATTTTTGGTATGATCGTCGTGTTCGTCGTCGTTTCAATCTAAATATTTGGAAAAAAAAAACGAACAAAAAAAATAATATGTAGATCAATGAAAGAGAACCCACCAATTTAGAAACGGTTATCACGCCATCGTATTGTTCGTCGGATGATTATAAGTCTCTAATCCGGAGATTGACTTGAACCCTGACAAAAACATATATTCATAGCATAAAATCGTAAATAGAAGGTAGAAGACCACCTATTAATCGGTTGTAACCTTGTGCAAACTCGATTTAATTTTGACGAATGAAATATTGGTGTGGTGTCAAAACTTTCTTGGGGAGACTCGAAGATGAGAGAGCTGAAGTCAGAGATAGGCAGAGAGGTTTACATGTGAATTAAGGTATGGAGTGCTAACGTGAACATGAACGTGAACGGCGGTGATTTTTGCACATAATAGCAATTAGATCGAGTTTTGGAAAAAAATATGGATCAGCGTGACATGACGCATATGGATGCCATGCATGTCTATCTATTGTAAATCAAAAATTATATTATTGTTCCGCCTTATTTTTGAAACAGAAAAGAATTTTCCCTTAAATTTTAATATATTTTATAAGATAGTATCAGATATAGTAGTAAATCTAAAATAGTTGTTATTATTCCATATTTTTACGGAAAAAAGTAAATATTATTTTAAATAAATATGGCTAACAATGAATAAATGGCAGTTTTACAAATATTTATTATTATGATAGTGATTTGCTTATTAAAATATGTAAATTTTCTTTTCTTTTTTTGTATTTATAGTCGAAAAATTTAGAAACCCTAAATCATGCACCGCCTCCTATTCAAGATAAATACCTTGCTCATGGTATTCAATTTCAGATCATAACTAACCCTTGTTTTTTTTGTTCTTTTTTTTCAAACTTTTTTTTGCTTCTACCTAATTTTAATTTTTCTTTATATTGTAGGGTGGATGTATGGAGGGGACGATGTGAACTGGTGTATGGAAAATTTGGACCTAATTCAATGAATAAACAGGTGATCTTATAATTTATATGTACAAATTTGATTTTTTTTTTTTTTGTATTTATGGTTTCACTATTTTCACCACTAATCAATTTTTATAATCAAAAAGTTTGGTTTCAACTTTTGAGAAGGTAATCATCGATGGTTTGGTATGTTTCTTTTTGTTGTAAAAAGATGAGGTACCTCCCGATTTTGTTGAGGTACATGTTATTATTATTTTCAAATATGTCTTTTTTCAGAAGAAACACTCAACTTTTGATAACACAGTTGCCACAAAGTCAGAAAGATGACTTATTTCAGGGATGAATCTTCAGAGGAGGCTAATTTTTGTCGTTAATACAATTTAAGTATTCCTCTCTTTAGATTAGGGATAACAAACTTGACTGTTAAATTCAGGAATTACTCTTCGTTGCCAATCTCTCTCCCCAAACTAAAATATTACATATATGGAAGTAGTAACTTAAAGTTTTTGGTATCGAGGTCATTCTAAGGCACTGAGATTCGGACTTTGGTATGTATAGGATTCGTTTTCCATGCACTAAGATTTAATTATTGTTTAATTTATTGGTTTTTAGGTTTCTTTCCATGCTCTGATGCGTTTTCGGGTGTGCCAATGGAAGCTTGCATCACTCTTTACTCCAAGCGTAAGTATGCTCTTCATTAGCTTCTTCTGTTCCATTGGTTATTATGGGTTTTGACTTTTGAAAAATATACAACAATTTAAAACCAGGTTTTGTTGTTGATTGGTTCGGTTTGTATACCATATTTTGCTAAATACATATGACCATAAATAAGACCAAAGGAGCTGGGTTAGCTCCTTTGCCAGCTAGGTTGACTTCGTCTCCTCCCCGTCTTGCGGATTTCCGTTATTCAACGGGTATATTTGAGAAGTATACGGTACTAAAACCACAACCATTGATCTTAGCTTGATCGGTTCTTCCCTAGGATTTATACATAAAAATAAATTGTTTTGTTTAATAATTTTCCATTGCATGAACTTTCGAGACAACAAGTGGACAGGAGTGTAATGTCGTCAAAAGTCAAATCAAACACTGTGAGGAACATAATAGACAACGTTGGCTTCTTTCGCAGCTGCTCAACGTTGTCTCTCCCGATGGTCCCAACACTTTCTTCTTTTTTTTTTGTCAACATTCAAACGTTGTTTAAAATAAATAAAAATGTTTAACCTTAATCATCTTTCTAGTTCTTTAAATGCCTAAAACTTCAACTTAATCAGTCAGCAATCCGTCACGTTAATGATTTTGAAAGGAAGACTTTTGTTTTGTTTCAGTTAGTTTTGTTTGTTTAGTATTTTAATCACAAGATAACTAAAACCACAACCATTGATCTTAGCTTGATCGGTTCTTCCCTAGGATTTATACATGATAATTTTGGAAACAATAAATTTTGGAAACAATAAACATGATAATTAACCAAAAAAAAAAAGGAACAACGAAGTACCAGTTAGGAAGCTTTAATTGAATTCATCGTGTTCTTCGTCGTGTGAATATAATTCTTCTAAACAAAGGCAAAACTTGAAATCCTAACATAAAGCATATATTCATAGCAATAACAGAGATCAAATAATTTAGTGATAGAATTTCACCTGTTGATCTGTTGAAGCAGAATAGTCAAGCTTCTCATAGTATCTTGCCCATGTTATGTCTTTAAGACGTCAATACTATCCTGCACCCTATAATTCTAACCAATGAAAAGAACCAATATTTATTACCTTGGATACGGAGTTGACGAGGAAACCTTTGGATAAAAACTCGAACGAAGAAACTTGTAAGTA